CTAAAAAAATTAAACAGGCAAACATTGTCGGGCAAATTGATTAAACTTGTTTTAATTAAATCTCGCTGCATAAATCATTTCACCCCAAGCAAGACACAAGGATTGATTTATTTGTTTAACGGCATATCAACTCTTCATGGGTCATTAAATGCTGAAATTTGATTTTCTTGGGAACTTTGAAGTAATAAATATATGATATATGTTATTCTGCTTTCACAATTGAATACATGGTAGATGATACTCAGCTTTTGTGCATATATATGTTTATGTGGACATAATTACTAGAGGCAATGATATGTGTATTTTATGTTGTAGCTTTGTTGAAGTTATATTTTGAAATACAGTTTGATTTCTTGAAATTGTTGGATATTATATTGATTAATATCATGAAAGAGTTCTTTCATGTCTGTTCGATGATTTTGTTTAGCGGCATATCAACACCCCTATGGGTTCTTTAATGCCGAAATCTAAATATTTTGCTTGGTTGATTTAGTTTAGGGGCATATCAACGCCTCTATGAGTAATTTAATGCCGATAGCTAAATATTTTGATTGGTTTGGTTGGTTAATTTTGTTTAGTGGCATATCAACACCTTTATGGGTTATTTAGTGTGAAATCTAAATATTTTGATTGGTTGATTATGTTTAGCAGCATATCAACACATTTATGGGTTATTTAATGCCAAAATCTAAATATTTTGATTGGTTTGGTTGGTTGATTTTGTTTAACGGCATATCAACACCTTTATGGGTTATTTAATGCCGAAATCTAAATAACTTGAATACACTTTTATGGCTTTAACTATATATATATATATTGAACACAATTGTGTGCTTTCAATTACAGAAAATGTATTGTTGGTCATTTTGCTATAAAATGTATTGTTGGTCATTTTGCTATAAAATGTATTGTTGGTCATTTTAATATAAATGAAAATTGACAATTTTTATATAAAAAATTTATTGCTGGTATTTTTACTATAAAAATGTATTTTTATACTTTCATGGTGTTTTGTTTTTGTTTGGTGGTTCATTATTTGCCCATAGCTGGAACCTTAATAAGTGTTACCACCCCGGGTCAGGGTGGACCTAGAAAAAAACAATTAAGAAGTTGTCCCGCGCTCCTCAAAACGTCCAACCACCCGATCAGATACCTGGATGGCAGGTGTAGTTTATCGTCATATCCAGGACTAAGACACAAGAGATTATTGAGAAAAAAAGAGGGGCAATAAAGACTGTTTAATCATGCCTGGCGATTGCCACGTGCATGAAACTCAGAGTTGTACCAAACGGCGAGGAATAAAACATATATTTATTAGTAGTTCTAGCTCTGTTATTATACACCGAGCACTTTTTTATAACCTTCGGAACTCACTTCTATTTCAAATTATGGGGTCTGATTAAAAAATGATCGGTTCTGTTGCTATGGGAACAGAGACAAATATTCGCAAAATGAAGCCGCTTGGCACAAATTGACCTTGAACTCTGTTGTGTGTGCATGATAAGTTCCGCTCACGTTTGCTGTTTATAGCAGGAAGGAAAGTGAATACAGCAGTGGTTTCCGGACGTCTTTTTTTTTTCTCTGAACCGCATTTCCGGAATTAAAATTTGCTCGCGCCTCATCAAATTTTAGTTGATAAAAAGTACATTTAAAAATTAAAAAAAAAATTAGAGATAGAGTTAAAAGCGGATATCCGCGGATTCGACGTCAGAACATTATTATTGATAACTCTCTCCTCCAATTTGCAGACCCTAGTTACTATATTCTTAATACTTGATATAATACAAAAATATCACTGATAAAATCTGTCAATAATTATTTATAACTATTTGTTGTAACATATCTACAGACGATAATGGATATGTCCCCATCTACATAAATATAGTAGTAAATACTGTATGGTGGTCTGCACTTGGAGATTCGTCTCCAGCTGCCCTGGTCAAACTCTGTGCCTTCGAGCAGAGAGGAACACAAGACGAGGCTATGTCGAAGGGCAGAGTCTCGTCAATGGAAACAGCTACCCGACCGCGATTTATACGGGGTCTACGGAGAATTTGGGGCCGAGCCTACGGTCTCTGATACCCCACATTAAATTCAGCCTTGTGCCACATCTGACCCCGTGGGGCGGTTGGTAGATACCCTGCAGTTAGAGATTCATTGTGGAATTCACTTGACTCACATCTAGCAGTTGACTACTTCTTCTACGCGCCTCTAGCGAATCTTATATGTGTTGTTCTTGTCCTAAGTATTATCGTTCGTTACCAACCTTCGTTTGATTATTCTTTTCAGTAACCTTCCCTAGTTTACAGCACTATTTATAATGGAACCCATGCATGCAATTACAAGTAATCCATGATAATATTTTTGATTTTGAAATTATATTTATTTTCGGCCTATTAATTTTTTTTCTAAATCTATGATTGTCTTTTAATCATTCCGCCTCACCTGCTATCCTCTTCCACCGCACCTATGAGGTCGTCTCACCACACCTCAGAGGTTCTATCAGTTACCATTGTTTGTGTAGCTGTTTTTGGCTAAGAACAACATTCCCGAGGTCCGACAAACACCATATCCCCCAGATCTCGTAACTTTTTCTACTTCAAAAATCAAATACCACTTGAAAGGGACAAGATTTCAAGATGTTGAGGAAATCCAAGAGAATACAACGAGGCAGTTGCTTGTTATCCTTCAAAGAGGAGTTCCAGGAATGCTTCCATCAATGGAAACGATGCTGCATACAGTCTGTGGCTTCACAAACGGACGATTCGATGGAGGTTCATCAGCCGTTTGATATGTCTTATTTTTTATCCTGTTCTTTATCTAGCCACCCTTCTTACCAGAAAAGCGTGGTGAGGGAACATACTTAGTTACCGATAACCCGACCATACGACAGATAGTAATCTTACTTATTATAAAACGCAGATTGTGTGTGTGTGTGTGTGTGTGTGTGTGTGTGTGTGTGTAACGTTTATATATTGGATCGGATTTCCTACATTTTTCAACCGATTTCAACAAAACTTCACAGGACTACATAAAATTACCTTGTGGTGGTTCTAACAGCGCCAAAAATGGGAAAAATATAATTGTTTTTGCACAAGATCAATATGAAAGCACGATTAAGAGACATCGTGAAAATGGAAGGGGGACAACTCACATCGGGTTGTTTGTGTGTGTGGGTTCCTTTAAATGTGGGAGCGGATTTCCTATATTTTTCAGCCGATAAAACAAAACTTCACTTTTTTTTTTTTGACAGGTAGTGTTTCTTATTCTAATTATCATAATTAATAAACCCAAATAAAGTTAATATTTTTTGTATTAGAAAAAACGAGTGGAAAATATATTCAAATCAGAATTCTAATTATGAATCACCACAAGCAAAATATGCAATTTTTATTACTGTATTCAATAAGTAAAAATCATAAATTGTAAGACTAAAAGATTACAGAAAGGCTACCTACATTTTTTTCAACCGATTTCAACAAAAATTCACTTTTTTTTTTTTTTGGCATGTAGTGTTTCTTATTGTCTTGTTTTTCACTTTTTTTTTTATTTTTACATTCAGAATGCTTTAAAAATTCCATTTACAAGACAATTGTTTATAATAAAATTCTATTCAATCGGTAGAGACTCATAACGATTGAAAACAATGTTTTTGTTTGAGTTTGGGTTTGACCAATTCAACTAAAAAAAAAAAAAAAAAATTAAGACATGCGTGTCCGTCAACCTTAAACAATAATCTTTGTCAATTTTATTTTTCAGTCTTTATGATGGTGGATACTTGATCTATCTCTTACTGTTATATCCCCGGGCAACGCCGGGCTCTATTGCTAGTGTGTTATATGGTAACAGTAGCATTCTTTGATAAACTGATATCACACGTTATGAAATGGACAAAATCCGACAATTATTTTAAGACATTTTTATGTTTATACATTTTTTTATAGATACAAATATTTAAGTAAATTATCTTGTTTTATAATAAACAGTATTAAACAACATTTACCAAACTTTCATAGAAAATATTCGTCCTCCGACCCGAATCGAACCTGTATCCTATACGGAACCGTCATATAGCCTGACGTGCCTTTAACCAATTGGGCCACAGAGGAACGTTCGTCCTCCGAATATTTGTATCTATAAAAAGAATGTATAAACATAAAAATGTCTTCGGAGGACGTATATTTTCTATGAAAATTTCTCGGACATTCAGGCCGGTAAATGTTGTTTAATACTATTTAAACAACATTTTACCATTTAGGTACTGACCAGGCTCGACGTTGCTTAACATCAGTAATCGTACGAGAACCAGTGTTTCAACATCATATGGCTGTAAACAGAGCATCTATTAAATATTTGTATCTATAAAAAGAATGTATAAATATAAAAATGTCTTAAAATAATTGTCGGACTTTTAATTTTATGTGTGACGTTATTTGTTTACATTTGGATACGCATTGAGCAGATATGAATGTCCGTGAGAGAATCATGGAAGATTGTAGATTAAAAGCAGTAAAATCGACCTTGCTAACCGAACAATCATCTGTGGCCCAATCGGTTAAGGCACGTCAGGCTATATGACGGTTCCATATAGGATACAGGTTCGATTCCTGTCGGAGGACGAATATTTTCTATGGAAATTTCTCGGATATTCAGGTCGGTAAATATTGTTTAATACTGTTTATTATAAACAGAGCATTTACTTAAATATTTGTATCTTAAAAAGAATGTATAAACATAAAAATGTCTTAAAATAAACTAATATGTTTTTTTTAATGCTTACCAACCTTTTGCGAGTTATTTAAAGGCAGGAAACATTTTTTTGATATTTTAGAACATAATAATGGCTTACTAGTCCTGCTACTTAACTTATAACTGAAGCGAGAAGAGGCGAATTCATACCTTTCACAGGTATATTTGCGCGTAATTGAATATAACTGACTTAAATTGGAATTCGGCTCTCAATTCCTAGCCATTCTTCATTAAACCACCGCACACCCAAGCTTACAGCACCTGATATTCCCAAGCGGTCACCCATCAAGGTGCTGACCAGGCTCGACGTTGCTTAACATCAGTAATCGTACGAGAACCGGTGTTTCAACATCATATGGCTGTAAGCTCATTACACCACCCGAACATCCAAACTTACGGCACCTGATATTCCTAAGTCACCCATTTAGGTACTGACCAGGCTCGACGTTGCTTAACTTCGGTGATCGTACGGGGGCCGGTGTTTCGTAAGCCAGCATTCGTAAAATGACCTGACGAAAACTGGACCTATGTCTACCGTTTCGGCTCCAGCATAAACCCGACCTATGAAGAAGAAAGTTTGTCATAAGAATGTCAATTGCTGTAAAGCGCTCTTATCTGACTGTCGGAGATAAGTTCGCGCGCAAAATTGACACGTATTGGGAGGTCGTACAAACATGGAGGAAGTTATTTCCTCTGCCAAAGTCAATAATTATCTCTAAGAACCCTTGAGATAAATGTGTTTACATAAAGAAGCCGTGCTAATCCCCCAAAACAGCCTCAGAAACCACAACAGTTCATCGAATTGTTGTCGATTCATGGGGAGAAATATTTCGCAGAATTGATTTTTTTCCTTAGAAGAACTGTAAAGTTGTTTCCTTTACCTTGAATACATTAGCCGATGTTTTCACAGAAAGTAAACTTTCCCAAACTGGGTTATGGGTACTTGGTCAAGTGGAGAACTGTTAATTGTATCATTTGTCTAAAATCATTAGTGCTATTAATTTTTAAAATAAGTTATAAGACATTAATCATTAGTGCCATTAATTTTTAAAATAAGTTATAAGACATTAATCATTAGTGCCATTAATTTTAAAAATAAGTTATAAGACATTAATCATTAGTGCTATTAATTTTTAAAATAAGTTATAAGACATTAATCATTAGTGCCATTAATTTTTTTAAAATAAGTTATAAGACATTAATCATTAGTGCCATTAATTTTAAAAAATAAGTTATAAGACATTAATCATTAGTGCCATTAATTTTAAAAAATAAGTTATAAGACATTAATCATTAGTGCCATTAATTTTTAAAATAAGTTATAAGACATTAATCATTAGTGCTATTAATTTTTAAAATAAGTTATAAGACATTAATCATTAGTGCCATTAATTTTTAAAATAAGTTATAAGACATTAATCATTAGTGCCATTAATTTTAAAAATAAGTTATAAGACATTAATCATTAGTGCCATTAATTTTTAAAATAAGTTATAAGACATTAATCATTAGTGCCATTAATTTTTAAAATAAGTTATAAGACATTAATCATTAGTGCTATTAATTTTTAAAATAAGTTATAAGACATTAATCATTAGTGCCATTAATTTTAAAAATAAGTTATAAGACATTAATCATTAGTGCCATTAATTTTTAAAATAAGTTATAAGACATTAATCATTAGTGCCATTAATTTTAAAATAAGTTATAAGACATTAATCATTAGTGCTATTAATTTTTTTAAAATAAGTTATAAGACATTAATCATTAGTGCCATTAATTTTTTAAAATAAGTTATAAGACATTAATCATTAGTGCCATTAATTTTTAAAATAAGTTATAAGACATTATAAGACATTTATAATCATTAGTGCCATTAATTTTTAAAATAAGTTATAAGACATTAATCATTAGTGCCATTAATTTTTAAAATAAGTTATAAGACATTAATCATTAGTGCTATTAATTTTTAAAATAAGTTATAAGACATTAATCATTAGTGCCATTAATTTTTAAAATAAGTTATAAAACATCTGTTTATTTTATGCTTTGTTTGTTTCTGAAGTATTGGCTTCTAAAACCTTTATATGTCATATATGCGGAAAAACACTGTTGGTCAAATTCAAGAAAATAGGTTTTAAGAAAAAGAAAAAGAAAACTTTTAAAATCAAAACAAAAATATTCTACAGTAGAATAATAGATCTAAAAAAAATGCTCATTTTATGAGATCATACAAAAATATAGAATCTAGAATCTTTAAAATTAAAACTTACCATCTTATTTGGCATATGGATGTTAATAAGGTTGTGGGTTTAGTGCGTACTTTGTAGGTGCTTCAGGAGTACTGCTTGTGTTTAAGTTCGGAAAATGCGTGTCTCCTGGTTTATTTACCCCACAACAAAAATTTCGGGTTCGAATGTGAGTCCGGGTAATAAATGAGAAAAGTAACAACAACACTATATATATAAACGAACCATAAGTATGTATTAAGAAAACAAAGGTATATATAGACAATAGAATATTGTTGCGCGTTACAAAACAATGAACATGGAAGAAGAAAACATTTAAAACAGTGAAGGTGTTTGTGTAGAAGTAAGTGTAACAAGTGTGTGTGATAGACACATGTGTATTTTGCAAACCAATGTGAAATTATTTTCTAACTAATGAAAACCTTGTATTCAAAAAGTTCACACCTCTATGTGAAATTTAATTTTGGCTCCACTTACGGATATAAAAATAGAAGGATATTGCTTCTTGGGGTTCAAAACAATTTCGGAGACTTGTTTGAGCTACAAGCGCGTACATCCCCACGCACACAATGGAAAAGATGTGTCAGTAGTCGCCGATTAAGGCCTTGTCCACGCACTGACAGAAACATTAAGCTGACCGTTGTAAAGTTAATCTGTCCACACATTTCACAACGGACTAAGAACACTTAATTACTTGAGAAAACAAACTTCACTGCAAGGAAAATTGAATATTTTTTGTTATTATATATTTCAGAAAAGAATATATAAATGTTATTTCAACTAGCGTTCTGCTTCTATTTTTCCTTCAGAAAATAACATTTTTTATGTTTTATTTAAATATGTTGTTAAATGTTTGGAATCCCGACACCCAGATAAAAACAAAAAGCTGGGTAGAGGAAACCCAACAATAACATGCATTATGGGAATTTTTTTTTAATTCGTTATGATTATTTTATTTATTGGTTTTATTTTATTTTCCCCTCGGGTGCCCCACCCAATTTTCGGGTGGGGTGCATAATTCATGGATAAAAAATGGCAAGAAATTGTTTTAGTAATAAATAAATAAATCACGAATTATTCCGATTGCAAAAGCCACGCAACAAGCATACCATTATGTTGCGTGAATCAGAACTTTTGATAGTAAATATATACAGGTTCCTGGAAAATTTATCCCGCAAACAATATTGGCGTACTCAGTGTGAGTCCAGGTAAAAATGAGTAACTCTAAACAATAGATATAGAAGAAATAACAATGCATGTATTAACAAAAGACATGACATGTGACGACAATTGTAACGAACGGAAAAAAAAAAAACATTAAAACAAGTTATAAGAAGAATGTGCTTGTTTGCGTATGTGTGTGTGTAACAAGCGTGTGTGATAGACACGTATGTGTATATATGCATGTGTGAGAAAGAGTACAAGAGTCAAGAGAGAGAAAACCATAAAAATGAACATGTGCCTCAGTGGGGGGGGGGAGCTTTAACCTAGTGCTGAAAGAGAAGTGAGACTATCATTGCGTACTTACAATCACAAGGAGCGCCCCCAAACGAACGCTTCTGGCACAGCCAAGTGCGGTAACCCACAGCCTCTCTGGGAATTAAGGGTGTTTTTTTTGGGTTTTTTTTTTTTTTTTTTTATAATCAGTCACCCTTCCGTAGAATGTGATGTGAATGTATTTTTTTTTTCTGATTTTTAATAAACTAGGTACCGCTATTGCGGGAGCTGACTTTCTCAGTTATATGGGGCGCAGAAAGTGTTTAGTTGTTGGGGCTAACTCGTATGAAATAGTGGCAGCGATTACTTATTATTCCGGGTGCTGTCCGGAATAAGGCAATTTTAACCCAACGTACAACGCAATGATGAAGATAGGCATTTATTAAACAACTGAAATTAAAATGAAGAAGATAAAGGCTTGTTTGTCAACAAATAATAATTTATTTGAATATTTTATACATCGTGTGGTGAATATAATAAGAGCCTTGAGAAGAAGGGTAGGTTTACATGTACACATCTAGGTATGTTTTAATAAAGTCCTTGAAGATAGAAAGGTAAACAGACACACGTTGAGGTGTGTTTAATAAAATCAATGAAAATGAAAAAGATTTTAGCACCCCGCTACCACCTTTTTTTATCAATATCAATTTTTGTACAAAAAGTGGATCACAGAGCTTATTCAGCTTAATAAAAATGTTTCATAAAATCACAACTTCTAATTGGTCACTTTATATTTAAGTCATGTTCAAATAACATCGACCTAGTCCTTGACCTGACCAAAAAAATAATTCCGCCAAAATCTGTCAAGCCTCTGTGAGTCTATCACGTAACCAAAATTAGCAATAAATATGAAACGTCTTTCATCTTCGACAGTGAGCCGATCGGAATCCTTTGAACTCGTCACACAGTTCCAGGCTTTACATTAAAGTTCCTTAACATGATTTCAGCCTTAAAGAACACTCACTCACACAGCAATATTTTATCACGAACAATCAACTCAAATTTTCAACTTGATACACGAATCTTTGTCATACGCTTTCAAGCTCAACGTTAATTATTGCAATTAACATAAACACAGTTTGTTAAGAACCACTTACTCCAACTACAGAATATCCTCTTCAAACGACAAGTGAAAACAAATCAAAGAGCGACAATTCCGTAAAGCTTAAAGTAATCCATGAACTATATTTCTCTACTTTAAGTACCCACTTGAACTGTTTATTTTTCCTTAAATTACAATAATACCCAACACATTTTCTCATTATTGTGCAGACCATTCAACAACTTATAATATATCAAACCAGAACTTTGATAACATTTCAATCTAAACATAAAAGGACATTTGAACTTTTTAAAACTACCTCTTTACTCCAGCTGTTTGTACTTCTTGGTTATATAAATATTCTATTCATTGTTGTGCAAAAATTGTTATTTCTCATGTTTGTTCTGATTCTATTTTTGTTGAATACTGAAATTTTTATGTGAGAGGAAATTGTTAATTTCATTACGCAGCCTATTTACTCAACAATTATTGATCCATATAATTGAATCAAGTAACACAACCTTCACAAGATCAAAGACAAAACACACATTGAGCTGTGTTTAATGAAACCCCTTGAACAGGGAAAAGTTCATAGACCAGACACACATTGAGCTGTGTTTAATGAAACCCCTTGAACAGGGAAAAGTTCATAGACCAGACACACATTGAGCTGTGTTTAATGAAACCCCTTGAACAGGGAAAAATTCATAGACCAGACACAAGCTGTGTTTAATGAAACCCCTTGAACAGGGAAAATTCATAGACCAGACACACATTGAGCTGTGTTTAATGAAACCCCTTGAACAGGAAAAGTTCAAAATGACCAGACACACATTGAGCTGTGTTTAATGAAACCCCTTGAACAGGGAAAAGTTCAAAACCAGACACACATTGAGCTGTGTTTAATGAAACCCCTTGAACAGGGAAAAAGATAAACCAGACACACATTGAGCTGTGTTTAATGAAACCCCTTGAACAGGGAAAAGTTCATAGACCAGAGACACATTGAGCTGTGTTTAATGAAACCCCTTGAACAGGGAAAAATTCATAGACCAGACACACATTGAGCTGTGTTTAATGAAACCCCTTGAACAGGGAAAAGTTCATAGACCAGACACACATTGAGCTGTGTTTAATGAAACCCCTTGAACAGGGAAAAGTTCATAGACCAGACACACATTGAGCTGTGTTTAATGAAACCCCTTGAACAGGGAAAAGTTCATAGACCAGACACACATTGAGCTGTGTTTAATGAAACCCCTTGAACAGGGAAAAGTTCATAGACCAGACACACATTGAGGTGTGTTTAAACCCCTGGAAAGAGGGAGAATTCATAGACAAGACATACATTGAGGTGTTTAATAAAACTCCTTGAAAGGGGAAAAGTTAATACCTTAGATCCATTGTAGAATCTACATCTGAGAAGCGTGAAATATTTCAGCGAAATAAGTGATTTTGGACATTCGACTTCTGACTCTTGAGATGGAAAATTCCGGTCGATCTGACACCGCCATGGTCTTTCTAAACAAAAAAAAAAAAAAAGAAAAAAAAAACAAAAACAACGAAAAACACATTTTAAATATTTTAAATGCTTTCTTTGAACTTAAATTTCGGTTCTATTTGAAAGATAATGGTCTGTATGAAAAGAAAAATTCTTTTCCTTGTATAAATAAACTTTTCGTTAATTTTTAAAGCATTACTGCTTTTTTTTAGTTATTCATTGTGTCGCCATTGCATGCGAAAAGTGTAAACAATATTTTAGTAATCCTCATTTCAATTACAAACATTTTCTTGAATTTCATTGGCTGTTAAATAAAAAAAATAAGCTTCGAGAAATCTGCATCACAAGAACAGTCAAAATTTGTGCAAAAATAGGATCAGCCGACGTAAAAAAAAAAAAAAAAAAAACTTTCTCAAATTCATCCCTAATTTAAATGTTTCAAGAAATCCTATTGGCTAAAAAATAAAAAAAAAAATAAAATACAACATTCCCCCACGCATTTCTCAGAAAAATTCGTAACAGCTACCAAGCCCCGTTGGAGCCGATTTTGTTGTTAAGAAAACTATAAATAGAAATAGTAAACGATTTTTCGTCGCATTTGAGACTCACACACGCGAAAGATACACACAGGAATTATGTGCCGCCAGAGAAACAAACTTCCTTTATGAGAGATTAGAAAAATTTACACAACAAAGTTTTTCATTCAATATCTTTCATAGAAAATCTTTTGTCTAAGTTAAATTCAACCTTTTTAATTAAAGGCAGACAACCTTTTAGACATTGAACATTTCCGAAACAGCAAGGAACTTTTTCTCTAAAATATACCTTTGCACACATTATAAACAAAGAAATTGCAAATTGTGTATATAAAATTTAATCTGTTGTTTCAAACATGTATATTTTTTTGTCGTGATTGAATATCGTTACCATTTGGCCATTTCTTATAATTTATGTTTGTGGATATTGCATATTTTATTTGAAGCACAGTCTTAAATATTCATGCAACCTTCTTAGATCCACTACAACATATTTAAAATTCTCTTTAAAGCCCAATACTTATCCAAGAGATGTGTTTTGAAGTCTGTTAATGAATTTAAGGATTAACTGGATTTTTTGAAACAAAGTGAAAATAACGTTTCATTTATATACGCTAGCATATAAAGTCAAATTATAAAGCAGATTACAATCATTCTACCCTTTTCTGAAAAAGCGCGGAAAAAATTAAAAAATAAAACTTAAAGACGCACGTAAGACCAACTGTAGACTTTTAGCATCCCGATGCCACTTTCTTGTCAATGTTGAATTTTGTACAAATCTGCGCAAAAAGTGGATCAAAGAGCTTACCTAGCTTCATACAAATTTTCAGGAAATCTCAACTTCTAATTGGCCAATAAACACACAAGTGGGCGTTGCAATCCACTCACGTACAAGTCTTTTCCAAGTGCGTGACCAAGTCAAGTTTCCCCGCTTCTTTTCCAGGAGCCTGTCACGTGATTACGTTAATTATAAATATCAGACACACATTTCCTTTTTTTTTTTTCTTTTCTTTCTTGATTTCAGTCGCCTACGGAAATGTTACCTTAAAGGAAACTGCGTTACGACCCCATTGCGGTCGAACGCTGAAAACATATTCATACATGCACGTACGTACGAAAATTTCCAAACTGCATTACAAACATACGAAACATTTCCAAACCAGCAACAAGAACTTTTCTCTTTAAAATACTCTGATCAAGCTTATGCACACATCTTTACAAAACAAAATTGTAATATTCTGCATATAAAAAAATATATATTTGTTGTTCCAAACATATCCTTTTTGTTGTAATTGAATATCGTTATCATTTGATTTTTTATTTAAATTTATGTTTGTGGATGTTGCATGTTTCATTTACAGTGAAACATTAAAATAGTCATACAGCCTTCTCAGATCCACTACATAAAAATCAAGTATTTGTCATCTATGTTTAAAATTAAATTTTCTTTAACCTTCTATATACTATAAGCTTTTATTAAACTTAGTAGAGAGGTTTCAAACAAGGAGGAGACTTATACTTAATATCAGGAAGAGGCAGCTGAAGTTTCTGGGACACATAATGAGAAAGGAGGGCCTGGAGAATCTGATACTCACGAGTCGAATAAAGGAAAAGTGACAAGGGAAAACAACGCGTGACATACCTGGCGGTCTTAAGCCAGTGGACGACAGAACGTAGTCTGGGGAAGGAAGCAGACGGAAGGAACTTGTTGAGAGCTGCAAGGGATAGAGGGAGGTGGAGATCGCCTACGTCCTGAAAAGACATGGCACATAAAAAAGAAAGAAAGAAAATTAATAATTTTATTTTTTATAGTGACTGAACGGAAAATATGAAAATAAATTAGCATCATAGTACTCTTCCGATATTGAATAGTAGTCAGTCAACGCGAGATATCAAAATTATTACCTCTTTGTATATCCATACCAAAAATCATCTAACAGTTGCTAAAAGGAGCGAATAAAATAAAATTATTTCTTTAAAAATGTTCACATTCGGAAATTACATTTTTTTAAATTTTCAATACAATAAACGACCGTGACGAACAGCAATGGGATTAATTTAAATCAAAATTGCACTGAAAAGTAACAAGTCAGTTTTTTTTTAATAAATATTATAAAGTTTATATTTTTTTCTGTCGATTCTGAAAGAAAATAACTCGTTTTATTAAATTACGCAGGCACCAATTTAAAAAGAATGTTTTTTGAGTTTTATTGAATTGTCTTTCGGCAAAGATGCCGGCCGGATTTTCCGTATGTTCACACTTGATATTGCGTATTTTTTCTTTTTTTTTTACTTAAGTTAAATAATATATTCAGGGATTTCTTTTTATATAACTGAGTAAAACTGTAAGTAAAAAAATTGGACGACCTCCACCCCGTCCAAATTAAAAAGTATACATACATCAGTCAGTTATGCGCCATGCGGAATACACGCTTAGACGATCATGTATCTTTTAGATACATGACTGACGAGGCAGATTTTTTTCACGCGGTAGGTTGCCATTTCTTTCTGCAGTAGACCAGTTGCCATCCAAGACTATAGAACCTGGTCTGTCCTGCTATTTACCCACAGCTTTGAGAAGAAGATGATTCATGTGATAGATATAAAAAACGACGATAAGGGTGTGTGGAACATACATCTCCAAATATTTTCCGAAAGTTTTTTTTTTTTTTTTTTTAAATAAATTAACCTATTTAGTAAAATATTCATTCATTAATGAATAAGTCATGAAAATTTCGTTTGAATTGATAATTTCCTGAATATTTTTAAACAGGGGGTATCGCTTTTTTTTCTTTCATTGCGGAGAAAATATCCATTTATTATATATATATATATATATATATATATATATATATATATATATATATATATATATATATATATATATATATATATATATATATATATATATATATATATATATATATATAAAAAAAAAAATCCCATCATGCACCGTGGCAGAAAGCCCGAGGACGAGTCACGTGATTAAATCCCACAATGCTCGAGAAAGGGGATTTCCCATTTTTCTTGTTGGACAAATTTTGCCACATTTTGTTGGCGGAGACTTCGAAAGAGTAGATTTGAAACGTTTTTTTTTGCATTTTTTAAAAGCAAGAAAATTATTTATTTATTTGTTTAGTGTGGTGACAGGGGAAACAAACATCATTACAAAATTAATCGAATCTCCACCCCCCCCCATAAAAAAAGAAAACGTGAAAAATGTCGACATCGACAAGGAAGAGAAATACTACTAATGTTGTTGACAACAACGACACCCCCGGTAATAAATCGGTGGACGATAAGGAAACAGAGTTAAAATCTGACCAAATGAACAATACTTCCGAAAACGACTCTGACAAGATTAAGACAAAAGATGTTTCTTGTTCTTCTTCGTCTTGTTGGGATCAGCTGGCCCTTTGCGCCCGTTCCGATTCTCCCCTTGCTGTACTACGGCCCCTAATGATTGCCATGGAAATATCCTGTCACGGATTAATGTGGATTATCGGGAGTCTAACGACACTACTTTGCACCCACAAGATACACCATGCACAAATTGTGTTTAATCTTTTATTCGGTAAGAAAAACTTGAATTTAAATAAATAGATAATGTTTGTTTTTAATTTCATAAGAAAACTTCTAATCATAAAATAAAATTACAGTAAATAAATCTATCCAATTATTTAATTAGATAAGCTTTTAATTGTTTTATAAATAATATTAACGACATTCTGGTCTGAAGAAAAAATATTCGATGAATAAATTTTTACAAGAATTGTGTACATTTTTTTAAGTTATAATAATTTATAAAAGTTTTTAAAATGTTTTTAAAATTCCTCTAAGAAGTGAAGACACTATTGACTATAATATTTATTAAGCGAAAATTGAAAAGCTTCCCCTTAATTAATACAAATCACGCCCGTTGGAGTACGACATTTAATTTCATGAAATTAGCTAAAGTCAAAGTGGGAGGTAACAGATGTATTTTTTTTACCAAGATTTTCTGAAAATAATCATTTCAAAAATAAATTAATTTATGAATAATTCCTGAAAGTTTCATTAAAAATCCAACAGTTATTTGATTTTTGCTGCAAGAATTTCTAAATTAATGCATTATTTTACCGGAAAAAAGGCGACAATGTTTCCATAGTCAATTCTACAACGTTGACACACAAAAGAACAGATTTTTAACCAAAATTTCGAACATGTCAGAAAGGAGTCAAAAATTTTTAAAATAATAAAAAAAAATGCTTTGGTCATTGTAAACATTTTGACGATAAAACTTAATTTTTATTAAGTTTGGGGGGCCTTTTTTCATTATGCTATATGTCCTTGTACTGTTTTTTTCGGCGAATTAGTGGAAGTATCTTACACTTTTGGATGAAAATGCAATTTTTTTATTTAGTTTTAGTCCAAAGATGACATTCAGTTCTTTCGGAAATAATTTACTTTTGATTTTGAGAGAAAAATAAAGCCCACACCAATATTGTGTTAACCGAACGCATGAATTGAATATAAAACTGTACCCCGATTTTGTGTCCGTTTACGCAAGTATGGCTGCGAAAATGTATCTTAATTCAGTGATAATTTTAAAAGAAAAAATAGAAAAAATGTTTCTTAAATTCTGAAAAATATCGATTTCTGTATTAATAGCTGCTTTTTTTTTTTTTTTTTTAAATTTATTTTATTTTTAATGCTCGTTTTAAAATCTCCTTATTTCAACCTTTCTTTCGTAGCCGTATTTGCGTAAACAAGCACTATTTCGTTGTTTGTTTTTTGATTTTGTCGGTTGCACTAGGGCCAGTTGGGCACCGTCTGTGATAAAATTCACACAGCCAAAAATTTGGAAACGGCATGCTGTACTGCTTGGCATTCATGCCGATAGCTCCAATACAAACATTTCAGTATGTTTGGGTGTCAATCCGCGAACAGTGCAAAGGATGCAGAAAGAGTTGGATGATGATTCCGAAGCTACACCAGCTTGGAAAACTCATCCTGATCGTTCTGATAGAAAAGAACTCCCGAATTTGTTGGTGAGGGTCTCAGACACGGAAGCCTTCATCAAGTGCCTTGAGGAGTTAGTGCTGCTCTAGGTCAAGTGGATGACTGCTGAAAGACTCTGTTTGGCAACAGGACTCTGCACCATACCACACAAGCAGGTGAACCCAGTCATAGCTATGATACAATTTCTGTGACTATACATCTGGCTACCTAACTCCCCAGACTGCAAACTCTTTGATTATTATGTGTGGAGCCCAGTTGTGCAAGAGTCCAACAAAACTACTTGTAACAACTAAGATGAATTGAAGGCAAGGATTATGCCAGCATTCATCAACTTAAATAAGGAGAAGGTCTAGAATTGTTGCAGGAGATTCCAAAATTGTCTTTAGGTTGTGGTTGAAGCCAGTGCTGTTTTTATTGGTTTTCATTGGTGCTGGTTTTCAGGCACAAAGGTACGGCATGATGTGAACACCTCCTCTAGACAGATATCAGGAAGTCACTTTCTTGGTGAGATTCAAGTCCAAGTCTCATGATGACATGCCTATATATATATATATATATATATATACACACACACACACACACAATTGGTTTACGGAGCAGACATTAATAATACAGACATTTCATCGTGTCATGGAGGACTGTGAAACCATATAACACAGTGCGGGTGTATTTGAAAGGGTCCACCAGCCAACGATCTGATGGGTGCATGAGCATGCAGAAGCAAGCAGAGGACATTTTAACATTTATGAGTTGTTACTTTGAGGTACAATGATGGCCTTTTGGATATATATTTATATCGACATTTTAGGAACCTCCCCCCCACCTTTTTTTTTATATACTGGGTGTAACAGCAAAATCATTCAGTTGTTGTGAACTGCTGTATCTTAGAAATGATTAAAGATATCTTACTGGAATTCTCAGAGGGTTTTTATAACATTATTGAATTTCACTTTGAGCAATAAGAATGTATAATTACTCTCCAAGCTTAACAGAAGAATCAAGCTGAAATAAATCATAAATGAAAATGGCTTGTTCATCATTAATTAATTATAGCTAAGGATTGAAAGCTCATGAAGTATTGAAATAAAGTTCAAATAATATATATATATATATATATATATATATATACACACACACACACACACATCATTTTCCAACTTTTTCAAGATGATCTTTGCCCTCTCTCACATGCCAAACGTCTTATGAATTGAGTTGGATCTTTTTCTAATTCATCTCTTTAGCTCTAAGTGGAACTCCATCTTCCTGTTGTGACCTACCGAACCAGTTTTAATATTTACTGTTCCTTTTTTTTTTTTTTTTTTTAACTTATTCATCATTCTCTCTTGATGATTCTTGGATGGACTTTGAAGATGGAAGCCAGAGTATGAATCTTGGTACAATTACTGAAGGCCTGAATGATCTTTTTCCTCACACCATTGCTCAGTTGGGAAGACATAGTGGGTCTGACACAAAACAATTTTAACCTGCTCTATTTGTAACTGAATGACTCAAAAATAAGAATTGCAGTAAATAAATCTATCCAATTATTCAATTAGATAAGCTTTTAATTGCTTTATAAATAATATTAACGACATTCTGGTCTGGGTTTTTCAGTGATTCTTAGAACAAATGGTGTCAAGATAGCTAAATGTTGTATCTGAAAACCTAGAAAAAAGAAACTCAATTAGTTTAGTGTTTTTTTTTTTTTTTTAGATATTAAACATTTTGTTGGATGGTTGATTATACTGTTACATGATTTGGACAATTTTGCAGTTACACTCGATATATATGCATGCATGCACATAGCGATTATTTATAGACAATATAAAATCCTCTGTGCCTAGTCCCTTCTTTTTATTCATATTGCTTGCTCCTTAAGCTTTATAATTTCTTAACTTAAATCTTACCTAAAAAAAACAGAAAAGCATGTACACCATTTACATTATTCAGGCTATTGTCCACATCTTCGTCACCATTTTTTTACGTTTCAGCTGTTGTATGCTCCGGCTTTCTTCAGGTGGTTGGAATGTTGAACTGAACCCTTTATTTTGCTCACACACAGGGTAGACTCTTCTAGTTCCATGTGCCATGTTTAATGGAAGTCAATATCTCCTATATTAATTCCCTTTCCAAGTTTTCCAAATTAACCGGTATTTGTTTAACTCACACTCTTTTGAGTCCTGTCACTGGATCTAACTAATGCCTTTATCCATTGTGCCATGTGACCTTGAACCATGTACCATATAAACTTTAAGCTTGTATGAATTGTTTGAATTCAGAGTTTTCCTGGTGCCCACCTTTAAATAGAAGCTCAATTTGTTAGTATTTGACCCATAACTGGCAGAGAGAAGAGATATTATCGCGTTTCTAAAAAGATTACTAAAGCGTATCAAAGGCAACAGATCGGTAAAATTTGAACTTGATTTCATTTTCTGTGCTGATATCAATTAAACAATTTGCCTTTCCTTCTTATTTCCAAAATGCTATTATTATCGAAAAAATTAGAAAGCCACAGCTGAAATTTTATGGAATATATAATGATAAAAGAAAATCCAGGAGAATTTAACAGACATGGGGATCTAGTTACTGCAGCAAGACAAACAGGAGGAAACTTATTTGACAAGATTACATTAACAACATTATTCGGAAAGTTGTCCTTATCTTTAAAATTTTATTTATTAGTAACGCAAAAATTGTTGTATAAATAACTTCTTCAGGTGGTTGGAATGTCATAAGTGAACCCTTTATTTTGCTCACTGGGGTAGACTCTTCTAGTTCCACGTGCCATTTTTTTAATGGAAGTCATTATCTCCTGTTAATTTAGTCTCCAACTTCTCCACTTTTAACTGGGTATTGAACTCTTTGGGTCCATCACTTTGATCAATTTAATGCCTTTATCCATTTGCTATGTGTCCTTGAAAACATGTACCATATTCTATTTAAAACATTAAGCTTGTATGAATTTTTTTTTTTTTTTTGCTTTCTTTTTCCCAATATCTCCCTCCATTCACTCAATATTTTGAATTTACACCCCAATAATGCGTTTATATTAACTTTGAGCTTTGAATCTGAGTATAATTTAATGTTCCTCCCATGGGACGCAGTATTTTTAAAAAAAAAAAAAAACAACTGTAATAAATGAACCCATACCCATGTATGCCTAAAAAGTAGATAAAACCATGAAACTTTTTTTGCATTACAAACATATATATATGTGCATTTATTAATATATACTTCATAGCTCTGTTTTGTTTTCACTGTAAATTAAATAAATATTTATTTGCTTATCTGTGTATACACACTATTGTACGTATATACAGTTGCTAATATCTTATTTAATTTATATTTACACTTGTGTATGTTACCATTTCCCGATTGAGCACTCTAAAGAAAGGATAATTTAAAAAAAACAGTGGCTGCTCCTGCTATTAATGTATCGTTCTTCAGTTATGAATTGAGCACTATTGGCTACTCATTTTGTATACATCATGTATATAATTTGGTTAATGACAAAAATTCTCTGCTGTATGCCGATTATTGTTGGGTTTAGTGAATTTTGTTGATGCCAAATCA